GTCCCTGGACGGATTGTAGCATGTTTTCGGTTTTTTTTTTTTTTTGCGTCTGGTATTCTGGCAAAGTTTTTTTTTTTTTCTACCAGAGAAAAACTTGTTTCATAGTGACCCTATTCCGCCAACAAAGATGGATCGGAGTAGAACCATGGCGGTGTTTCACCTTTGACCCGCGGTCAGGAAAGTCATAGGCTGGTGACCCAGATCTGGAAGTTTTGTGGACCCGCAACGTTGTTGGCTAGTGGCTATATTTGGGGCATTCTTTACCCGGCCTGGCGTTTGTCTCAGCGTTTTTTCTGTTTGTCGCTGGATTGGGTCCATGCGCCCCTCGTTCTCAGTGACATTGCTGTTGCATCACCATCAGCGTGTTTCACTTTTCTCCCGCTGTTGTTGCTGCTGCTGCTACTACCACTGCTGCTGTTACGACTGCTGCTGCTTCTGCTCCTGCTGCTACTGCTGCTAGCAACCCTCCTCCTAAGTCTTCTTCCCCCTCCTCCTTTCGCCGTTAACAGACCGGTTTACACCTTTTGTTGTGGATTAAAGTTAGGCTGCGATACCTGCACTTTTCAGCTCAAGACATTTTTTGATTTCAGCAAACAGCCAATGAAACACTGTTTACAACATGCTTGTGCAGCGGTATTGTGTTCGTCCCCTCCCAGTGGAGCATTAAATAACCCACACGGAATGTTGTTCTACACCCATTATATATCCCACACAGAATGTTGTTCTACACACATTATATAACCCACACGGAATGTTGTTCTACACCCATTATATAACCCACACGGAATGTTGTTAGTACACACATTATATAACCCACACGGCGTATGTTGTTCTACACACATTATATAACCCACACGGAATGTTGTTCTACACCCATTATATAACCCACACGGAATGTTGTTCTACACCCATTATATAACCCACACGGAATGTTGTTCTACACACATTATATAACCCACACGGAATGTTGTTCTACACACATTATATAACCCACACGGAATGTTGTTCTACACCCATTATATATCCCACACGGAATGTTGTTCTACACCCATTATATATCCCACACAGAATGTTGTTCTACACCCATTATATAACCCACACGGAATGTTGTTCTACACACATTATATAACCCACACGGAATGTTGTTCTACACACATTATATATCCCACACAGAATGTTGTTCTACACCCATTATATATCCCACACAGAATGTTGTTCTACACCCATTATATAACCCACACGGAATGTTGTTCTACACACATTATATAACCCACACGGAATGTTGTTCTACACCCATTATATATCTCACACGGAATGTTGTTCTATACTCATTATATATCTCACACGGAATGTTGTTCTACACCCATTATATATCTCACACAGAATGTTGTTCTACACCCATTATATATCTCACACAGAATGTTGTTCTACACCCATTATATATCTCACACAGAATGTTGTTCTACACCCATTATATATCTCACACAGAATGTTGTTCTACACCCATTATATATCTCACACGGAATGTTGTTCTACACCCATTATATATCTCACACAGAATGTTGTTCTACACCCATTATATATCTCACACAGAATGTTGTTCTACACCCATTATATATCTCACACGGAATGTTGTTTCTACACCCATTATATATCTCACACAGAATGTTGTCTCTACACCCATTATATATCTCACACGGAATGTTGTTCTACACCCATTATATATCTCACACCGAATGTTGTTCTACACCCATTATATATCTCACACAGAATGTTGTTCTACACCCATTATATATCTCACACGGAATGTTGTTCTACACCCATTATATATCTCACACAGAATGTTGTTCTACACCCATTATATATCTCACACGGAATGTTGTTCTACACCCATTATATATCTCACACGGAATGTTGTTCTACACCCATTATATATCTCACACGGAATGTTGTTCTACACCCATTATATATCCCACACGGAATGTTGTTCTACACCCATTATATATCCCACACGGAATGTTGTTCTACACCCATTATATATCCCACACGGAATGTTGTTCTACACCCATTATATATCCTACACGGAATGTTGTTCTACACCCATTATATATCTCACACGGAATGTTGTTCTACACCCATTATATATCCCACACAGAATGTTGTTCTACACCCATTATATATCTCACACAGACTGTTGTTCTACACCCATTATATATCCCACACAGAATGTTGTTCTACACCCATTATATATCTCACACAGAATGTTGTTCTACACCCATTATATATCCCACACAGAATGTTGTTCTACACCCATTATATATCTTATACAGAATGTTGTTCTACACCCATTATATATCCCACACAGACTGTTGTTCTACACCCATTATATATCCCACACAGACTGTTGTTCTACACCCATTTTATATCTCACACGGAATGTTGTTCTACACCCATTATATATCTCACACGGAATGTTGTTCTACACCCATTATATATCTCACACGGAATGTTGTTCTACACCCATTATATATCTCACACAGAACATTGTTCTACACCCATTATATATCTCACACGGAATGTTGTTCTACACCCATTATATATCTCACACGGAATGTTGTTCTACACCCATTATATATCTCACACGGAATGTTGTTCTACACCCATTATATATCTCACACAGAATGTTGTTCTATACTCATTATATATCTCACACGGAATGTTGTTCTATACCCATTATATATCCCACACGGAATGTTGTTCTACACCCATTATATATCTCACACGGAATGTTGTTCTACACCCATTATATATCTCACACAGAATGTTGTTCTACACCCATTATATATCCCACACAGACTGTTGTTCTACACCCATTATATATCTCACACGGAATGTTGTTCTACACCCATTATATATCTCACACGGAATGTTGTTCTACACCCATTATATATCCTACACAGAATGTTGTTCTACACCCATTATATATCTCACACAGAATGTTGTTCTACACCCATTATATATCTCACACGGAATGTTGTTCTACACCCATTATATATCTCACACGGAATGTTGTTCTACACCCATTATATATCCTACACAGAATGTTGTTCTACACCCATTATATATCCCACACAGAATGTTGTTCTACACCCATTATATATCCCACACAGAATGTTGTTCTACACCCATTATATATCTCACACGGAATGTTGTTCTACACCCATTATATAACCCACACAGAATGTTGTTCTACACCCATTATATATCCCACACAGACTGTTCTACATCCATTATATATCCCACACAGAATGTTGTTCTACACCCATTATATATCTCACACAGAATGTTGTTCTACACCCATTATATATCCCACACATAATGTTGTTCTACACCCATTATATATCTCACACAGAATGTTGTTCTACACCCATTATATATCTCACACAGAATGTTGTTCTACACCCATTATATATCTCACACAGAATGTTGTTCTACACCCATTATATATCCCACACAGAATGTTGTTCTACACCCATTATATATCTCACACAGAATGTTGTTCTACACCCATTATATATCTCACACAGAATGTTGTTCTACACCCATTATATATCCCACACAGACTGTTGTTCTACACCCATTTTATATCTCACACGGAATGTTGTTCTACACCCATTATATATCTCACACGGAATGTTGTTCTACACCCATTATATATCTCACACGGAATGTTGTTCTACACCCATTATATATCTCACACAGAATGTTGTTCTACACCCATTATATATCTCACACAGAATGTTGTTCTACACCCATTATATATCTCACACGGAATGTTGTTCTACACCCATTATATATCTCACACAGAATGTTGTTCTACACCCATTATATATCCTACACAGAATGTTGTTCTACACCCATTATATATCTCACAGAATGTTGTTCTACACCCATTATATATCTCACACAGAATGTTGTTCTACACCCATTATATATCTCACACGGAATGTTGTTCTACACCCATTATATATCTCTCACACAGAATGTTGTTCTAACACCCATTATATATCTCACACAGAATGTTGTTCTACACCCATTATATATCTCACACAGAATGTTGTTCTACACCCATTTATATATCTCACACAGAATGTTGTTCTACACCCATTATATATCTCACACGGAATGTTGTTCTACACCCATTATATATCCCACACAGACTGTTGTTCTACACCCATTATATATCTCACACAGAATGTTGTTCTACACCCATTATATATCTCACACAGAATGTTGTTCTACACCCATTATATATCTTACACAGAATGTTGTTCTACACCCATTATATATCCCACACAGAATGTTGTTCTACACCCATTATATATCTCACACAGAATGTTGTTCTACACCCATTATATATCTCACACAGAATGTTGTTCTACACCCATTATATATCTCACACAGAATGTTGTTCTACACCCATTATATATCTCACACAGAATGTTGTTCTACACCCATTATATATCTCACACACAGAATGTTGTTCTACACCCATTATATATCCCACACACAGAATGTTGTTCTACACCCATTATATATCTCACACAGAATGTTGTTCTACACCCATTATATATCTCACACAGAATGTTGTTCTACACCCATTATATATCTCACACAGAATGTTGTTCTACACCCATTATATATCTCTCACAGAATGTTGTTCTACACCCATTATATATCTCACACAGAATGTTGTTCTACACCCATTATATATCTAACACAGATGTTGTTCTACACCCATTATATATCTCACACAGAATGTTGTTCTACACCCATTATATATCTCACATAGAATGTTGTTCTACAACCATTATATATCTCACACAGAATGTTGTTCTACACCCATTATATATGTGTTTATTTACTATTATGCTTTTCTGTTTTTTGTTTCTTTCTTTTGCAATGTTGGAAAATGATGTTTTTCTTGGCTTCTTCTACAGAGCATGTCTGGCAGGTCACTATGCAACCAAAAGGACTGGGTCAAGGCAAAGGTCTGAAGGGTCAGTACCGCATGTGTCTCAACAGTACCACCATCAGTCTCTTCAAGGTCAGCGCCAAACAGCCTCAGTTTTCTACACAGGTCAGTTATTTACACAGCAGTGGCATTCATTGTTTTGTTTCTTTTTCTTGTTGTTGTTGTTTGTTTCTTTCTTTCTTTCTTTTGTTTCTTGTCTTTCTTTCTTCTTCTTTCTTCTTCTTCTTCTTCTTTCTTTTCTTTCTTTCTCTTCTTTCTCTTTCTTTCTTTTCTTTCCTTCTTCTTTCTTTCTTTTCTTTCTTTTCTTTCTTTCTTTCTTTCTTTCTTTCTTCTTTCTTTCTTTCTTTCTTTCTTTCTTTCTTTTCTTCTTTCTTTCTTTCTTTCTTCTTTCTTTCTTTCTTTCTTCTTCTTTCTTTCTTCTTTCTTCTTTTCTTTCTTTTCTTTCTTTCTTCTTTCTTTCTTTCTTTTCTTTTCTTCTTTCTTCTTTCTTTCTTCTTCTTCTTTCTTCTTTCTTCTTCTTTTCTTTCTTTCTTCTTCTTCTTCTTTCTTTCTTCTTTCTTCTTTTCTTTCTTCTTTCTCTTTCTTTCTTCTTCTTCTTCTTCTTCTTTTTCTTCTTCTTCTTCTTTCTTCTTTCTTTCTTTCTTCTTCTTCTTTCTTTCTTCTTTCTTCTTCTTTCTTTCTTCTTTCTTCTTCTTCTTTTCTTCTTTCTTCCTTCTTCTTCTTTCTTCTTCTTTCTTCTCTTCTTCTTCTTTCTTCTCCTTCTTCTTCTTTCTTCTTTCTTCTTTCTTCCTTCTTTCTTCTTTCTTCTTCTTTCTTCTTCTTCCTTCTTTCTTCTTCTTCCTTCTTCTTCTTCTTCTTCTTCCTTCTTTCTTCTTTTCCTTCTTCTTTCTTCTTTCTTTCTTCTTCTTCCTTCTTTCTTCTTCCTTCTTTCTTCTTCTTCCTTCTTTCTTCTTCTTCCTTTCTTCTTCCTTCTTTCTTCTTCCTTCTTCTTCTTCCTTCTTTCTTTTCTTCTTCTTCTTCCTTCTTTCTTCTTCTTCTTTCTTCTTCCTTCTTTCTTCTTCCTTCTTCCTTCTTCTTCTTCTTCTTTCTTCTTCTCTTCTTCCTTCTTTTCTTCTTCCTTCTTTCTTCTTTCTTCTTTCTTCTTTCTTCTTTCTTCTTTTCTTTCTTCTTTCTTCTTCCTTCTTTCTTCTTCTTCTTTCTTCTTTCTTCTTTCTTTCTTTCTTCTTCTTTCTTCTTTCTTCTTCCTTTCTTCTTCCTTCTTTCTTCTTCCTTCTTTCTTCTTCCTTCTTTCTTCTTCCTTCTTTCTTCTTCCTTCTTTCTTCGCTTCCTTCTTCCTTCTTCCTCCTCCGTTTCCTCTTCCTCCTCCTCTTCCTCCTCCTGTCCTGCTGCTTTTATCGTTGAGTGTCACAGAGAGCAGTTAAGATTTAGATTCATGCTTGTTGTCCTACCCATTATACCGTCAAGCGTAGCAGAGAGGAGTTTATTTAGTTTCCAGTTTTGTGCAAGTTGCCTAGCTTGTGTTAATATATAGCATTTCTTTAGCGTCTCTTTACTCCCTCCACCGGTATCTTTCTTGGTCGGCCTCTTGACTTTTAGCCTGCTGTTCTCATGTTTTTTCTGTGTAGCTGTGTGTATATATGGGTGTTTGTGTGTGTATGTGTGATTGTGTATATATGAGCAGATGTGTGTGTATAGGTGTTTGTGCATGCGTGTATATGTATGAGAGTAGGTCTGTGTATGAGTTTACATGAGTGTGAGTGTATGTATGCTCAAGCCTGAGTGTAGTTGCATATATATATATATATATATGAGAATGCATGTGTATGGGCGTGAATTATGAGCATGTCTATGGTTGAGTATGAGTGATCATGTTCTTATGTAGGATGTAAAAAGTGTGTGTGTACGTGAGTGTGTACCTGTATATTTGAATATGGTTGATTATTTCTGTTTGATGGTGTATGTATGAGGATGTATATATATATATATATATATATGAATATATATGAGTGGGTGTATGTGTGTGCATGTGCGCACGCATAACCATCCATGGTTTTGAGCTTTTCTTTGATTTTCATATTAAACATATTGTCATAACAGTCATTTTTGGTAAGATACAATTTCTTTATGAAAGATTAGTGTTTGGAAGGGCCGAAAGTCAGATGGGCCTGCATACCCCTTCAAAAATAAAGTTTGTTCATTGGTTCTTCCACAACAACCATAACTTTCCGCTAAGAGTTTACAGCCACCAAACATTTAGATTTCATGTTGGATGTGTCTTGTCTGTGTCCATCATGGCCTTCCAAAATCCTTAATTAGTTATCTTTCACAACTTACTTATTATCAAGGAGTAATGCACCTCTCTTTCCCTCCCCCCTCCCCCAACACATTTGGACCTATTTGATACTTCTTCTGTATGTGCTTTCAGTCTCTGTATGTGATAGACAGTGGCAATGGTATGTATTGATAATGTGATAATGAAGACTGAGCACTTATGGGAGTGCCCAGGTGGCTGCAATGTTAGTGTTTAACTGAAAAACTCAACACTCTGTATTACTAATTGTGTGTGTTTCTGTCTGTGTGTTGGTCAGTTGGTGACCGTCCGAGCTGTGGGCCACAACGACAACAACTTCTGGCTACAGCTGGGCAACTACTCCTCTACTGGTCCTGGAGAGTTCTGGTTCTTGGTAGAGGATTTTGCAGTGGCCGACGATATGCACAAAACAATCTTAGGGTAAGTTGTAGTTCATGTAGGTGTGCACTTGCTCTAAGAGAGATTGGGAGAAAGTAGTGGCAGTTACAGGATATGCAAACAACATTCACACAGTCAGTCACTCATGTAAATGACCTTCTTTCTTACACTTTGTGAGAGATGTTGATGAAGGCTGTTGCCCAGCCGAGAATACATATTCTTGTATGACTTGTTTTCTGTCCATTATGTCTTGCATTATCACTAAATATTGTTAGCTCATTATTCTCTGGTGGACAGTGTCAGCTCATTAATATAGAGAGGACAGTGTCAGTTCATTATTCTCTGGAAGACACTGTCATTTCATTAATCTCTAGAGGACAGTGTCAGCTCATTAATCTCTGGAGGACATTGTCAGCATATTAATCTTTGGAGTACATTGTTAGCCCATTATCTCCTGAGGACAGTGTCAGCTCATTAACTTCTGGAGGACATCATTAGCTCATTAATCTCCTGAGGACATCATTAGCTCATTAATCTCCTGAGGACATCATTAGCTCATTAATCTCTGGAGGACAGTATCAGCTTGTTAATCTCTGGAGGACAGTGCCAGCTAATTAATCTCTGGAGGACAGAGTTAGCTCATTAATCTCCCGAGGACATCATTAGCTCATTAATCTCTGGAGGACAGTGTTAGCTCATTAATCTCTAAAAGACAGTGTTAGCTCATGCTATGGAGGACAGAGTTAGCTGTGTTATATTTGATGAACTGGAGTTCAGGTTGTCTGAGCATTGTAAACATCTCCATCTCTTAGAGAGAGTTTAAGTACACAGCTGTCTTAACAGCATTATAGGCCCCTAGGCTAACCATTGTGCTGGGGCCTCTATAACAACCACCCATGCGAATGAAATTTTAATTTATGGCAAGTCACTAAACATACATGGAAGTCGCCGTGGCCGAGTGGCTAGACGCGCGCCATGGATCGGAAGGTCGTGGGTTTGCTCCCTGGCGGAGTAAGACTTTAATTAAAAAAAGACCTTGGCTCCCAGGTCGACCCAGCCTTGAGTGGGTACCGGGTGCAGTCCCGGGAAAGTAGAGGCGGCCGGCATGATGCTGACCACATCACCCATCTTGTGCCGTTGGTCTATAAAAATATAGGTCTAGCCCTATATGCCCTATACGCCTAAAGGCATGGAAAAGGGTCCTTTACTTTTTTACTTACTAAACATACATAGATTAACATGAGACCCCAGTGCTCATGGGGTCCTCCGGCAGGTGCCCAGCGAGCCCATGTGTTAAGATGGCACTTGGTTTATACAGACACTTTCTCCATATCATATACTTCTTCTGCATTTGTCCAACAGTAGTTGGCATGCTGTATTGTGGTTTACAGCTAGGCTGTGATGTTTGCACCTCTTGGCATAGCACATCCGATTTTAGCAAATTCCAAATTATTTGTCCTTTACAATATGCCTGCTAAGGAGCAGTGGGTCCCAGAACCCTCACGGGGAAGACCTGATACAAAAATACTATGTCTATTGGAAGCTGCTATTGGCTGCCCTCTCTCTCTCCCCCACACTGAGAACCTTAGTGGGATTGTCAACTCACTAAGCAGGGTAATGGCAGCCCGGGGGGGGGGGGGGGGGGGGGGGGGGGGGGGGGGGGGCATTTAAGAGTAAAATTTTGATTTGATTCAAGAACCGACATCACATCACTTGGGGCATTCCCATAAGCGCTCCGTCCCCATCTTCAGCAGCCAGCGAAGAGTTACGATACTGATGGTGCCAATAGCATATTGATTAAGCGTCCGTCTTTCCTTTCCTCTGAGCCTCGAGCATCTGCCAGAACCTCTCGTCACCCCCAACTGCTTCAGTCTCACCAGACTGTGGTGATCCATCTGCTCCTCCGCACTGTACACGCTCTCCCACAAGGCACTAACCACGTCTGCCTTATCATGCATCAGTATTCCACCAAACTGTGCAGAGCCAGCCAGTCTGTCCACCTGTTCATTTCCCAACACACCGGCGTACCTGGTGAAAAATTCAGACAATACTCCTCACCCATGTCTTCCATAGCGAGGCAAGCCACTCTGCATGAAGCATGCCTGTCCTGATCTTCCTCAGCATGCTTTCTGAGTCAGTTACAATCACGATATGTGTGTGTGTCGTGTTCTCTAGCCAGCATAAAGCTGCAGTGACAGCCTCCACCTCCATTCTTAAGCTGGATGTTGTGGTATCATATGCTAGGCTCTCCTGCACCAAACGTCGACCACTAACTTTTGCTAAGAAACCCCAAGCACTTCTTTTGCCTCTTGACACTAAACCGTCTGTGTAAATGATCAAATCTTCTGAGCGAGCATTATCTTGAATTAATTGCTGAATTTCCACCTCTGTGGCACCTGCTGGCCAGTCTCTGCATTTCCGGCTCAGTGTGATTATGACTCTACACAAATCTGACTGTTCATGTGGCACTTTGACCCACTCCTCTCCTCGCCTAATGTTCTCAAGGATGCAAACCTGTCTGATTGTGTCTTCTGCCTAAGCCATCCATGAATTCCCTCTTATCAGCCGCTGACCCTTTACTGCACCCAGAGCTTCGTGCAAAGGGTGGTCTGTGTCCTCAGCTACCTTGAGATATGACTTCGCCTGCAGCACCTTGTGCCTACCTGCAACAGTGGGAAAACCGAGGATGTATCGCATACACACCACTGAGGTGTCTCTGGTGCAACCCAGAATGGCTCGCATTGCTGCATTTTGTATGCGCTCTAGTTTGTCCATCTGACTCTTTGAGACGGTAAGTAGTCCCAGGCCGTAATCCACCACTGACAGGATCAGGTGCTGATATAGTGTGAAAAGCATTCTCTGCTCTATGTCAATTGCAGCCATAGTACTAAGTGCACCAAGTTATTTTTGGCATCTTGTCACAACACTCTCCACATGGTCCTTAAATGACAGGCTCCTGTCAAATGTGATTCCCAGATACTTCAGTTTGCTCTCTCTGTTGATGTTTCTGCCATCTATCATGAGGCTTGGGACATTAGCTTTAATGAATCTGTTGTCCAGAGAACACCACAAAACAGACCCCTTTTCCGGGTGGACGACAGCCCTCATTTCTGTACACCACTCAGTCACTTTGTCTACTGTCGCTTGTAGCTCCCGGGCTGTTTGTTCTCTCTCTTTCCCCTGTCTATATGCAAGTATATCATCCGCAAAAGTCAGTATCCTTCCAATCCTGGTGCTTCTAGGCTTGCAATCTTGCTCGTATACACGTTGAAAGAGCACAGGCGAGATGGCGGATCCCTGTGGCAGTCCTGGGGCCAGACTGTATGGTTCTGAGGTCCATGAGCCCAGTCGAAGAGCAACCCGACGTGAATACAGGACAGCTGCAACCCAATTCACCAGCCATGGATTGACCTCCTTCTCCTTCAGTGCAGTCATCAAGATGTCGTATCTTTTCGTAACTTTTCTGTTAAAATGTTGATGTGAAAAATTGTACTTTATTTTATCCATTCTTGTATAATTTGTAGTATCATTGACTGATCTTTTGTTGTGTTTCCCTGACTAGATACATGGCTTCAGTTAAGGACTACTTAGACAAGGACCAGCAGTTTGCCATTTCTAAGAAAAACAACAGCTCAGGGTCAGTGCAGTCAATGTTCCTGGTCACTTGGTTCTCCTGATATCTCTGCTAGACCTCTATAGACACCATTGATCATTCTGTTTCAATACAGATCTTTTGTATTTCAATACAGACGTTTTCTACTGATGCACTTCTCATTCTTATCCTTCTCTTTCTCATACTTTGCTTTCCCATACTTCTCTGTCCCATACTTCTGTCTCTTCTCCGTCCCTTTCTTATCTTTCTCATTCTTATCTTTCTCTTTCTTATACTTTTTTTTTTCTTAACCTTCTGTTTCTTAGACGGCTCTGTGGCTGTTGATGCGAATGCTTCATAATGCTGGGGTGCCAGGTTCGATCCCAGCTGCGGACCATGCGCCTTGCATTGGTTTCAACAGTGGTATCGGGGGCTGACCGTCCAGAAAGCAGTGGCAAACTACTTGACATAAATTTACCTAGAGAAACCACACAACAGCCAGGAGCTTCTGGGGTTGGTTGTGCAACGACCTGTACAGGATACGCAACTAACCTCTGTTTCTTATCTTTCTCATTCTTATCCTTCTCTTTCTTATCCTTCTCTTTCTTATCATTGCTCAGCTGTCTACTACTTCTACTTCTTCCCTGTTACTGCCTGTTGCCTACCTCAGCAATCAGACAGTTCCACATGAAGTTCTGCCCTAGAAGTTTGAAGAGGTCACCTACAGGCAGTGGTGTAAACAATTACAGAAGATCATTACCATCAGGGGAGAAGCAAGGAACCAACAGTCTGCATACAGATAAGTCAGTTCTGTAAATTGGATGTGTACGCAACACTCACATCTGGAAAAAGACCAAAGTCCGGAAGTAGATGGACAGCCAGAACTTTTGCCTCAGGTTATAGCCGGTGAATGCGAAGAAGGAGGAGATAAGAATTCGCTTTAGAACAATAATCTTGTCAGGTAATTCAGTCTATAGCTTTGTAAAACGTATTATTTTATACATGATACTTGACGTTTGGGTTCCAGTGATACTTGACGTTTGGGTTCCAGTGATACTTGACGTTTGGGTTCCAGTGATACTTGACTATTGGGTTCCAGTGATACTTGACGTTTGGGTCCCAGTGATACTTGACGTTTGGGTCCCAGTGATGCTTGATGTTTGGGTCCCAGTGATACTTGACGTTTGGGTTCCAGTGATACGTGACATTTGGGTCCCAGTTATACTTGATGTTAGGATTCCGGTGAAAAATGATGTTTGGGTCCCGGTGATACTTGACATTTGGGTTCCAGTGATACTTGACGTTTGGGTTCCAGTGATACTTGACGTTTGGGTTCCAGTGATACTTGACATTTAGGTTCCAGTGATGATACTTGATGTTTGGGTTCCAGTGATACTTGACTTTTGGGTTCCAGTGATACTTGATATTTGGGTTCCAGTGATACTTGATATTTGGGTTCCAGTGATGACGTTTGGGTTCCAGTGATACTTGAGGTTTGGGTTCCAGTGATACTTGACGTTTGGGTTCCAGTGATACTTGACGTTTGGGTTCAAGTGATACTTGACGTTTGGGTTCCACTGATACTTGACGTTTGGGTTCCACTGATATTTGACGTTTCGGTTCCAGTGTCCCGTTTTGGGGAGAGAAGAAAAAGAAGACACCTATTTCTTTAGAATAAGCACGTTGTCACAGCCTAGCTGTCAACCACAACACAGTGTGCCGACACGCTTTTAAAGGTGAATGGACAACTATAGGTCTAGTTTTGTGACTGCTCATACATTTATTTTTGGTAAGTTGATGTGATGGCTTCCACTTGTCTTCCACATGAGCATAAGTTATATCTTGTACATATTGTAATAACTTTTCTGTTTTGATAGTAGTAGTAGTAGTAGTAGTAGCAGTAGTAGTAGTGGTGGCGGCGGCGGCAGCAGTAGTAGTGGTAGTAGTAGTGGTGATAATGAAAATAATAATAATAATTCTTTGTTTCCAGCTTTACGGATAGTTTTGGAGGCGTATCCCAGCATTATGGAGATTCTAGAAAATCCTTCACCAGTTCTGGGACATTGGATTTTACATCGTGAGAACAAGTTTTATGTTTGTGTGTGTGTGTGTGTGTGTGTGTGTGTGTGTGTGTGTGTGTGTGTGTGTGTGTGTGTGTGTGTGTGTATGTGTGTGTTGTTGTTGTTGTTGGTGGTTCAGTTTTTTCTTTACAAATTCACACTTGCTAAATCTTCACTAGGCATTGAGATTCAGTCTGTTATCAGTAAAATACTTACAGTCACCAGGTGTCAGTCAGATAAATCATCATGTGTCAGTCAAATACAATCACCTGGTGTCAGTAAAATACTTACAATCACCAGGTGTCGGACAGATACAATCACCAGTTGTCAGTCAAATACAATCACCAGATGTCAGACAGATACAGTCACCAGGTGTCAGTCAAATACAATCACCAGGTGTCAGACAGATAAATCACCAGGTGTCAGTCAAATACAATCACCTGGTGTCAGTCAAATACTTACAATCACCAGATGTCAGACAGATACAGTCACCAGGTGTCAGTCAAATACAATCACCAGGTGTCAGTCAAATACAATCACCAGGTGTCAGACAGATACAATCACCAGGTGTCAGACAGATACAATCACCAGGTGTCAGTCAAATTCAATCACCAGGTGTCAGACAGATACAATCACCAGGTGTCAGTCAAATACAGTCACCAGGTGTCAGACAGATACAATCACCAGGTGTCAGTCAAATACAATCACCAGGTGTCAGACAGATACAATCACCAGGTGTCAGTCAAATACAATCACCAGGTGTCAGACAGATACAATCACCAGGTGTCAGACAGATACAATCACCAGGTGTCAGTCAGATACAGTCACCTGGTGTCAGTCAAATACAGTCACCTGGTGTCACTCAAATACAATCATCTGGTGTCAGACAGATACAATCACCAGGTGTCAGACAAATACAATCACCAGGTGTCAGTCAAATACAATCACCAGGTGTCAGTCAGATACAATCACCAGGTGTCAGACAGATACAATCACCAGGTGTCAGACAGATACAATCACCAGGTGTCAATCAGATACAATCACCAGGTGTCAATCAGATACAATCACCATGTGTCAGTCAAATACAATGACCATGTGTCAGTCAAATACAATCACCAGGTGTCAGTCAAATACAATCACCAGGTGTCAGTCAAATACAATCACCTGGTGTCAGTCAAATACAATCACCAGGTGTCAGTCATTACCAGGGCTTTTTCATGAATGTCGGCATCTGTGACTTACGCTTATCAAAAGCACTTCATAATTCTGATGTGCCAGGTTCGATCCCAGAGGAGGACAATATGGCAGCAGACCACCTTGCATTGGTTTTGACAGTTTTGTCAACAGCTGACTGTTCAGGAAGCAGTATGAACGTAAAATTGTCTTTTGAAATCACAAATAGCCAAAAATGCTAGAGTTCTACAGCGTCCGATAACAAAATACTCAAACAACTTTGTCACTAAATAGAGTTTCCTAGGTCATGTTAGACACAAATGTTACAGATAATTGTATTGTTCTTCTTTTTGTTCGTTTGAGTGACATAAATGAATTTTGCCTGTTTAAAGCAGAGCCGCGATATTTGCACCTTTCGGCAGTCACATCTGACGTCATCGAGTTTTGGTTGACCAGGTTAGGTTAACTTTCTGCAACCAACTGTATTCTAATATATTCACCAGGACTTTCCCATTTCAACAATTTTCTAGGTTCGCTTTGGACACAAATGTTGCAGATAACTATTTTATTAAAATTGTTAGAGCTTTTCTGTGTATACAATTTCCTAGGTTCAGATCTAAAATCAGTAGAGCTTGTCCATTAATACAAATTTGTAGGTTCAAACTAGACAAGAATGTACATATAACTGTATCCTACTCAGACCTCTAGAGTTTTTCCATGTAAACAATTTTCTAGGATCAGGTTAGACACAGTGGTAGGTAAACAGATACAGAATTCTACCATGAATAGTTTCCTAGGGTTTCGCTGGACAACAATGTTGCAGATTGAAAATATAAAACAAGAAGAAGACCTGTGGAAAGTTATGATTGTCTCAACATCTTCCCCAACCCAGACAGTGGAAGAATTGATTGTCTCAACATCTTCCCCAACCCAGACAGTGGAAGAATATCTTGTGTTTGAGAGTTGCTTTTGTCTTCTTTTTCATGTTCACCAGCTGGATCACCAGCCCTAAACTTCAGCGGAAAGTTCTGGTTGTTCGTCTACTTCTGGATTTTAGTCAGGTTCCAGAACTTGAGTTTTACGTGCTCATCCATTTTACATATCTGGCTTATTTGTTTGTAGATGGTTGATTCCCTGCCTCTCAGGCAGATGTACTCTGACCTTTGGTTGATACCTGCCTCCCAGGCAGATGTACTCTGACCTTTGGTAGGTTCCCTGCCTGTCCAGCAGATGTACTCTGACCTTTGGTTGATACCTGCACCCCAGGCAGATGTACTCTGACCTTTGGTTGATACCTGCCTCTCAGGCAGATGTACTCTGACCATTGGTTGGTTCCCTGCCTCTCAGGCAGATGTACTCTGACCTTTGGTTGGTTCCCTGCCTGTTAAGCAGATGTACTCTGACCTTTGGTTGATACCTGCCCCCCAGGCAGAAGTACTCTGACCATTGGTTGGTTCCCTGCCTCTCAGGCAGATGTACTCTGACCTTTGGTTGATACCTGCCCCCCAGGCAGATGTACTCTGACCATTGGTTGGTTCCCTGCCCCCCAGGCAGATGTACTCTGACCATTGGTTGGTTCCCTGCCTGTCAAGCAGATGTACTCTGACCTTTGGTTGATACCTGCCCCCCAGGCAGATGTACTCTGACCTTTGGTTGGTTCCCTGCCTCTCAGGCAGATGTACTCTGACCTTTGGTTGGTTCCCTGCCTGTCAAGCAGATGTACTCTGACCATTGGTTGGTTACCTGCCTCTCAGGCAGATGTACTCTGACCTTTGGTTGGTTCCCTGCCTCTCAGGCAGATGTACTCTGACCATTGGTTGGTTCATTGCCTCTCAGGCAGATGTACTCAGACTTGATAGGAAACCCATTTTTAGCCGACTTACGATATGCTTGTTAGGGAGGCAGTGGGTCTGTTGTGTTCCCTCCCACATTGGGACCCTGGAACCCACGCTTGAGAGTTGCTGTTTTTCATTTTGTGTGTGACATCTATCAGGACCTTTAGATATCGTAGATAATGTGTACTTGTTCTTCTTCGTTCACCGGCTGTGAATTCTGGCCGAAGGTCCCGATTAATCGTCCGCTTGGACTTGTGTCTTTTACCTGGACCCGAGTGTTGCGTGTACAACCATTTTACTGGGTTTTGATAATTTGTACTGATTGGTCTGCTTACACTCCTCTCAGGGATTATTACTCCATGAAACACTCCAATGGACTATCAGACTTCTCTCACTCACAGTCCTCCAGTGATTTTGATGGTGAGTGTCCCATTGTTGACAGGTGTGTGTTATGTCTGACAACTCATGTTTCAGATGTTCATACATTTGTTAATGTTTTGTATGGTGTAAAAAAACTCATATGTTTCCGATGTTCGTACATTTGTTAATGTTTTGTATGGTGTCAGAAAACTCATGTGTCAGATGTTTATACATTTGTTAATGTTTTGTATGGAATCTGTCTGTTAATATTTTGAGTTATGTCAGAAAAACTAGTTGGCTTGCCAATAAAACTCAACCACAAATCACAGAATTAAAGTTAGAAAGCTCTCACAAGCTTACAACAACACAGACAGTGGTACTGCTGCATGACAGACTACATTTGATAATTTATCTTTTTGGAGGAAGTCAACTCCTTGTCAAAAATACATGTCCATGACTGAAAACAACGGCTTGGTGACCATTACATTTTCATCATGAATATACAAAAGAGAGGATCTGATCTATAGAGAAATAGGAACGGTGAGAGGTTGTATCAGGAGAAGTTATATGAAAAAAGTTTGTAGAAACTGTGTTAAACATTAAGGCCATGTGGAGATTGAGAACCCAAAATAACCTTAACAAATAGCAATTGCTTATTTGTTTGTTTATGCAGAAAACCTAGTTAGCATGAATTCCCAGGAACCAAAAATCAAGTTATGTTAAAAAACAATAATGCTAATGGCAGACTATTAATAATAATACATTACAGCTGGAACCAACAGTTTGTTCCTGCTAATAAAGTGTTATTTTTAAGTGAGTTCATGTATAGGGTTTTCCTGTATATCAGCGCGTGTGTGTGTTTGCAGCTGCAGTTAACAAACTCTTTTTCTGTTTGTTCTTTCCCAGGAGACTCCACTTGTTACTTTGGCAACTCATTGGCGGATTACCAGTCTATGCTGAGCAACCACAGTTTGGTCTCCACACATTCAGGAAGCAAGCACAACTACAACTTCCCCGAACACCTGCACCCCACACATCTGCCCACGGTCAAGGAAGGGGGAAGTAAGTTGACCATTTCAGAATATTGCCTCGTTTTCTTTCCTTTAGGATGGGTACATTTATCATTTCACTTGGGCAGTAGGGTAAACTGGTCATTACAATATATTTTTTTTTATATTTGCTTATCTTTTCTTTAGCTTTGTAAATTTGATCATTTCACTGTTATCTTTCTTGGGGGGGGGGGGGGGGGGGGTACATTGATCATTTAACTTTTTCTGTCTTTCCTCTATAAAGGGTAAGGTAAGTTAATCATTTCAGTATTTCACCTGGTTGTCTTTCCTTTGTAAAGAATAAGTTGATCATTTCAGTATTTCACCTGGTTATCTTTCCTTTATAAAGAATAAGTTGATCATTTCAGTATTTCACCTGGTTATCTTTCCTTTATAAAGAATAAGTTGATCATTTCAGTATTTCACCTGGTTATCTTTCCTTTGTGAAGGATAAGTTGATCATTTCAGTATTTCACCTGGTTATCTTTCCTTTATAAAGAATAAGTTGATCATTTCAGTAATTTACCTGTTGTCTTTCCTTTAGGAAGGATAAGGTAAATTGATCATTACAGTATTACTTGTTATCTTGTCTTGAAGATG